TAATTTCTTTTAAAGTCTTTTTTTGACTTTCTAGGGCTGAAATGATTCCAATGTATTCCGTAGAAAATTTCCTATTACCGACGATTTTAAACCATCTAAGTTCTTGTAACTTAATAATGTGCATATATGCATGAGATAGTAGAGATTTACAACCATTGTAACAGCCAATTCTCATATTTCTAATCTTCATAGAGCCTTTTCCCAGGATTCTTAACCATGAAATAGCATTATTGGTGTAATATTGATTTGCTACTTCTACGTCTAAATCATGAATTTGCGAAAGAAAGCGCTTATTTTGTCCTAGTAAGCAAAAGATCTCGGGTTTAACTTCAACGCAATTGTCAGAAAAATATAAATCCAATCTAGATAAGGTGGCACCATTCTCAATAAATATTCTAAAAAGTAAATTGAATATATAGAATTCTAACTCTGTCGTATCTTTTTGCTGGTTGGGAAATTGTAAGCAGATCCATCTTCTAACCCATCCTTTAACATCATTACTAAAATAAAGTAAACTAAGAGTTTTTAGAAATTTTTCATATTGAAATAGTGTAGTAGGAAAATTCCATATTCTTTTAAGATAAGCTTTTCGCTCTCGTCAATGGATGAAAAGTATTTGGATATAAACGTTGGAGTTCCAGAAACTGAAAATGGACTTTTCCAAAGAATTGGAATTGACATTTTACACCAATACCGGTTCACAAGTATACTGTACATGAGAATAAGTATTTAGCTTCATAATTTTCGGTTTCATAATTCTCATAATCTAAATTATTAAGAATTCTTTCCATTAATTCGGGCATATCACCCCCAAATATTTTTGACGCCATGAAAAGAATACAGAAATTAAACATTAAATTTTTTTACGTTATAAACACATAATGGTAACACAAATCAGATCATGTGTGCTATTATTTTTATCGATCAAACGCGTAATATTACGCGTCATGTTTTCACACAGATGCAAAAATGCTATTCCTGATGGATCGACAGTACAAATCTTGATGGAGTTAAAAACAATACTGTTTCTGCTTGGTTTTAAATGAACTCTAATTCTAATTTTTCATATAATAGGATAATATTTTAAAGGCCTTTGTTTCCAGGACGATCCATCAGGATAAATTTTTACTATGAAACTAGGCACATGTAATGCACATGGCCTACTGTCAGTGCAACAATACAGTCTGACCTCTATATAATCACCATGTTGGTTACGCCCTAATCTGCGATTGTATAGAGGTGATTATAAATAAAATACCAGGTTGTTCGATTTGCATAAAACAACTACCAAAATGTTCATCTTGATGAGACGATTTCAACGAACCTAAAATCGTTAAAATCCAATCACAGGATTCAAAATCATTAAGGATTTGTGTCACTTTACGTGTTTAACTATCAGACAAACTAATTTTTAAACATCTGAAGAGACGCAAATCCTTATTTATTTCAGATCCTGTAATTGAATTATAACAATTTTGGACTTGTTGGAATTATCTTATCAAGATGAATATTTTGATAATTTTTTCTAAATTGGACTAGAAGTTCAAAAGTTATTCACCATCAAATATTTTAAAATTTTTAATAATAAATTTAGATTTAATAACATATTTAGTAATTATAATAAGGTCTATTATTAATAAAATTATAGTAATAGTGATTTGTAACTATAATAAGATTTTTTAAGTAGATTTAAAAATATAACATATAGAGTATAATTATAGTAAGTTTAAACTATACTCAATGGGCTATCTATATTATATATAAATATTTTGTTTTAAACTTCAGATTCTATTATTTTATTATATATTTTATATTAACAAAAGATAATTAAATTACATTTATATTATAGATTAAATTAATATAAACAAATAATTAAATTAATAGATATTAGTTAAAATTAAAATATAGTAAATTTAAAGCTAATAATAATATATAAAATTACTATTTTTTATTATAGTTTTTTGCTATTTTTATTATAGTTTATATAAAAATTTAATTTTAATATTTAGTCTTATTTATACTTAAATTATAAAAAATATTGACCTATTATAGATAGATCAAATAAATATACTTTTGACTTTTATATTATTTAACTTTTATTTACTTAGATATATCTATCATAGCAAATTCTAGCTTTTTTAGTTTTATCAATATAACTTACAACCTTTGGAGCCTATTCTTCATAATACTTTAAATATATTCTTATCAAAAACAATTTAAACAACTTAATTTACTTTACTTTAAACAATTTTGCTTAGCTAACTACTTTACTCTTTTAGAATAAAAATATCTTTTACTAAAACTACTTTATTTGTCTAAAAATAAACAACTAAATTGGTATATTAATTTAAAGAATAAAGCAATATTATATAGCTATTATAACAATCTAGTATCTCAATATCAATAATTAAAGTTAATCTTTTTATATATAATATACATATCTTTAAAAAATCTAAGCTATAGTTATTTAATTATAACAATAATAATATTATTGGCAACATCTGCAAATATTTCTCTAACAACTTGATCTTTATTAATTACTAGAAAACTAATATTAATATTAGATATAATTAACTTTACTCTTTTTAACCTATTCAGTATTAACCCTATTTTAAACTTTAACAGATTAGTAACTATACATAATTAATATTTTAGCTATTATTTCTATACAATTCTTTGACAGCATCTCCTCCAATAACTTTAACTTATATACCAATTACATTGATCTTATCTACTTTACTGCAATTAAATATCTTATTTAAGTCTTTACTTTACTTTCAATTCTTATTAACTATTTAATAATATTTAAATCTTTGAATTTGGAGAATCTACTTTCAAGTCTAAGCAATTCTCTAATACCAACTCTATACAATCTTAATTTAACTTTTATACAGATAGTTCTGTGATTGTATTCAACCATCATTAGATTCATATCAACAAGCTCTATAACTTCAATTAGAGGCTTAAAGGTGATTAACTTAGTATGAAAAAAGTTTTAGATAAAAGCAGCTTATATTTGGAAACTCCTAATTTCTATATATAAACTGCATTACTATGATCTCTTTCTGGTTGACTGGCAAATCACCAATTATATTCTTAGCAAAGATCTATCTTTAGCTATCCTTATATAAAGCTAAACTTTTTTTTATTCTTTTTGAAATTTCCATCATCCTATGCAACTTAACTTTATTGACTCACAATCTATTATTTCTAAATATCTAAAACTTATCAACTCTCATAATTCTAATAAACTCTTTAAATTTAGCTTTTGATCTTTATAGTATATACTATTTAATATTTTCAAATTATATAATTTAAAATTTATCTTTTATAAAATCAAAGTCTACACTAATAACTACTATAATAACTTATCTGATACTCTTGTTAAACAATATTTATTACTACCTTTATTATATTTTATATATATAAATATCTGCAACTTTTCTATATCATAAAATGGGAGGAGAAATACATTGGCTGCAAAAAGAATCCAGCAAAATAATAAGCAACAAATTTTTTTCTGTATATTCTTTATATCATCGAAAATGGGAAAAATACGGTGACTGCAAAAAAGATCTGGAAAAATAATATGCAACAAATTTTTCCTTATATCATCAAAAATGGGAAAAACATGGTAATCGCAAAAAGATCTAGAAAAATAATATTTAACAAATTTTTTCTATATTTTTCTTATATCATCAAAAATAGGAGAAATACAGTGATCGCAAAAAGATCTGAAAAATAATATACAGTATTATTCTTATATCATCGAAAATAGAAGAATACAGTAACTGCAAAAAAGATCTGGAAAAATAATATACAACAAATTTTTTCTATATTTTTTGAATTGTCAAATTATTCTTAAATTTGGTTTAAACGAATGCTAAAATAGTATGATTCATTTTAAGTTCAAAATTATCAAACAGGGATCAAACTTATACAAAATATTAGTGGATGATTAACTAGTGATGCCCAATAGTTGTTTTTAAGAATTTTTGACTTAAAACAAATACTAATGTTCTTAGCATTCATTTAAAACAAAAATCATTGAAAATAGATCAGCCATTCATGAAATATCAGTAATATTTTGGCAAAGCAATTGCATATTTCAACTCTAATTTTAATGGCCATATTTCATGAACAACTAATTCTTTTTGTGCTAGCTTAAATTAGATACTACAGTTTGTAGCATTCATTTGAGCGCAGAATCATTGAAATTAGATTGGCAGTTCTTGATTTATAGAATGCATGATGTGAATAAATCTTTTTGTGACTACCGTAAAAATAACCAATTGTAAGTGTTTTATTATTAATTATAGTGATGATACCTGGATTGAATATTACCCAGGTTATTTGCAGATAATTAGATATCTGGGTTGTTAACTCAGCTGCTCAGTGTTACTACTGTAATATTCTGTGCCCCAATATTTACATATTTTTAATTCTTTATTATTATTTCCGTATATATATTATTTCTTATTAGTATAGATATCCTTTCTTATAATGTATTATTATTATCATCTTTATTATTATAATTACACCCATATAATTATTATCATAATCTTTATTTCACTATTGTATATCATGTGGTCTTTAGCAGATGACTGACTTGTATTACCTAAAGTAGTATAGTATGAGGTGTAAATGTTGTTGAGTAGGATTATAAAAATTAAAAAAGCATATGATGTATATACATATACTAGAATATACATCAGATATACTCACTTGTCAGATATACTAACTTGTATAAATATATTATGTGTTCAAAGCTATTTTATGATTATTGTACTACATGTGTAAAAATATATCTCAACAATTACATATTTAATATGAAAAATATGCCCTGACAATTACATATTTAATATGAAAAATATGCTTCGACAATTATATATTTAATATGAAACATATGCCTTGACAATTACATATTTAATACATATATTGTTTGCACAAATATTATTAATTTAAAGCAAATACAATAAGCAAATATATAGAATATTTTATTATTCTTGTTCAAGTTCACGCTCTTTGATTGTATTGATGATTTGTAATTCTCTTAATTTTTCCTTTCTTTTTTCAATTAAAAGTATATATTCCTTATATTCCAATTTTTCCATTGGTATCATCAATGTTTCTTCATTACCTTTCATATCTAAAAAAAGGTTATTTTTATCTGAACTATGCTCAGTTGGTTTTTGTGATTTTTTATTTTTGAAAGCCTGTATAGAGTGTTTTTTTGTTAAGATGTTAGCACTATCTTTTGATCGCTTGTTAGCTACAATTAAATTAATATATACTATATTATAAGTTGAAATAAAATTTGTTATTTATTAAATTAAATGATTTTACTTACTGCTTTGTTTGATAGCTGAAATTTTTCGTTTAATACCACTTTTATCATACCCACTAAGATCAATATTATAGTTTTTTTAATTTCTATTCTTTTAAAATATTACATATCTAATTTCTGTCTTCTGAAATTATAAAATATGACTGTTGTTAAAAAATAAATATTTATTTATTTTTACAAGTTTATTATTTATTATTTACTTAATTTTGATTTTAAAAACTATATAATCACATATTATATTTGTTATTAATCAGGTTTTTTGTATATCAAAGCTGATAAGTAATAAATAATAAACTTAAAAACTAAGCTTCATTTTTTTTTAAAAAAAAAGTAACCTTAATATCGCTGTTATTAATTTGAGATGTTTTCCTTCATGATTGCTCATTGAGTATGCTACCTCTGCACAATTTGTGCTATTGGGTGCTGCATACCAATCATTATTAGAAATTTTTGATATATTTGGATTAAGTGATGCAATAATATATGGTTTTTGATAAAATTGAACCCAATCTATTTTTTTAAAAAATAAATTATTACTTTTAAATAATTAAATCATATATATTGTATATTTGAAATATTACCAATAATATTTTCATATATTGATAATTTTTTAAAAATAAAATCTACTTTCTTAGCTATTGCTGTTAATAAAGATTCTATCTCTATTTTAATTTCAGGTGCAAATTTTTTTCATATAAATTTCTATAGATAGTATTATTATAAAAATAATATAAATAATTTTTAATAAATTACTAATATTTTATTATATATGAAGTTATAATAAACAAAATTTATTTTACCTTTTAAAATAAACTTGACATGATTTATAAATATATGTCAAATGTTCTTTCCAACTATATGAACTATCAATTGAAGTTAATATTTCACCTAATCCAATTATTTGTGCTATATCTAAATCACCAATTATACAGCTCCAACTGCTTCTATGAATATGTTTAAATTTTGGTGACTGTCCAGTAAAAAATTTAATAAGATTAAAAAGAGATTCAAACATTCACTTATATGCAATAGTAGTAGCCTGATTAGTAAATATTTGAGTGAATATTAAAACTAAAGAATTAATAAATTAGTATTTAATTTTAGAGTACATTTATTTATCGCCCCATACAACGTATCTTATACGTCGCTCTTACATGATCAACCAATCGAATCTCAAGATCAGGTGTAACGTTATACAGGTGGGAAATTCAAAACAAAATGAACATTTTGCCAAAAATTGCCCATAACTCAAAACATCGAATATGAAACTACCTTTCAGGTTCTAATGAAAAAAATTTCTTGCAAAATTTTACTATAGAGCCTGGTCTTTGCCTCAACTCTAACCTTATCTATCCCTAACCCTAACCATATTAAAAAAACGATATTTTGATTTTACGTTACACCTGATCATTAGGGCGACAACATCGCCCATGTGATGTATAAATTATCTCTTAATTTTATTATATATATTAATATAGAATTAATTATATAGAATTAATATATCTGTATTTGAAGCCTTATCATAATAATTAATTTCAAATTTATTTATATCTTCAGCAACTCATTTAAATGATAAATCAATTTTGAAATAATTGCATTGAACCCATTTTTGAATTTGAATTTGTGTTGAACAAGTAATCATTATATGACCATCATTAAAAATATCTATAAATTAACTAATATAAAAAATAAATATATTTTAAAATATATAAATTTTAATTTAAAATATATAAATACTTATTCGTTGAACATAATCTCGAAAATTATTAATATTGCATGAGAAATTATATATTACTCCTAACAAGTCTTGACCAAATGGATGCTTCTCTTTTTGAATTTTATTTATACAATAATGCAATTTATCAGCATCATTAAGAGATATGTGAACTTCACATAAATTTTCTACTCCAAAGTATGTTTTAATTAAATTGCCTAATAATTACAATAAATATTAAATTATATAATTTAAATATATATTAATATATATTATAAATTTTACCTGTTACTATATGAGTAAAAGTAATATCTAGCAAATCTTCATTTGCTTGATGAACAAGAGCCTGAAGTCTCTGTTTTATATAAATAGGTGTTTATACAGGTAGTGGAGGTGGATATGTATATATTCCTTTACGTACAAGAATTACAAATAGACATTTTTTAAGATCCAATAGTGTAATTTTATAAAATTCAACCTTGTATGATTTTTTAATAATATGACCATGGCAAATTATATTTTGATTTCGATGTGCATGTGCTATAAAATATAAAAAATATAATTAAAATTATATATTTAAAAAAATAAATAATTTTTTTATTTACCACAATATTTTTTCTTTGAAGAATTGGAAAAAACAGTATAATATGCATTTGTAGGTTGAGTTTGATTACTTTCCACCTATATATAATAATATATAAATTAAATTATATATATATATTATAGAAAATTATATTTATAACACCATGTTATATAACACTCTAATGCTATATCTCAAAAATGTACTAAGAAAATGGGTGTAGGTGCTCTAAGTAAAAATGATTAGCACCCCTGAAAACCTCACAAGAACTGAAATTGGGACCTATTATGCCCTTATGTCTATATATATTGTATAATAAAAAATCTCTATATATCTTAAAACTGGACCCTAACCCTAAGTAAGACATATAGGGTGTTATATAACATGGTGTTATGAATATAATATTCCATATATTATATATTATTAATAAATAAAATTATTAATATAATTACTTCATATGTGTCATTAAATAAGTTGGATAAAATTTCTATATTAATATTAGAAGGAATACATATAAATCTATGATATTTTTTATTAAATTTCCAATTTGCACATCCAATAAAATTTGTAGATTCTGTAGAATTTTGACGAGTTAAACGACATAATACTGGTTTTCCTTCACATAATTTGTTATTTTGCTGAAATTTGCAAGGAGATTCTTGGGCTGCCAAATAAAATCTATTAATAAAATATATTAATATAATTTAAAAAACAATTATTTAAATTATTATTATAATATTATTTTCGATAACTTACTTAAAAGTATTATTGTTTAAATTATTAGGCGAAATTTCTTGTATAATACATATCATAAGATCTGAATCCATATCTACACTTTGATGCATTTCATTTTGAAGCTCATCAGCAGAAAATTCACATAATTTCGAACCTTGACAAGTATTCATTTCACGTTTTACTTCGACATTAAGATAAGGACACATGACCTTATATTCACCTCCAGGTTTACCAATTGAATATTGGATCTAAATATATTAATAAATATATTTTAGAATAAATTTAATAAAAATTTATTATAAATTATTAAATTACTTACATCTTTAAATACAGCTAATGGCTCTTCCCAACCTTCAATATTAAATATATAGGCAACACCCTCCGGACTTGTTGCAGGATATTCAACAGGTGTTAATATATGATTAACGACATTGGCTGTTAATTCTTTGGTAAAATAAGTCACTGTTTTTTCATTATGTATTTCATATGCAATTGCTGAATCATATTCAATATTATCAGATTCTTCATCCGAAATCAGAATCTATTAATTAATTATCTTAATTAGAATTTTAATTAAAATATTTATTTTTTAAAATATAAACTGTTATTTACATCAACTGTTTCATAACTTTTAACACTTTCAAAATGCTCAAAACGTTCAAGATCCTCTTCATATATCGTTTCAATTCCATCAATAATTTGAATAGTAAAATTATCTATTTTACTCTCTAAAAATTATATATTATCTTGATTTAATAAGAATTACAAAATTCTCAGAATATATATTTAAACAACATATTTTACCTGTTCGATGAATTGCAAGTAAAAAGAATTTCAAAACTATCATTATAAATATTTTATTTAATATACGATATTATTAAATAATCAATTGTACCATAAATTAATTATTCTATGATTACAAGCATTTTTTTATTATCGATATCATTAAAATAATCAATCATTCGCATCATACATATTATTATATTATTACAAACTTTTTTTTTATTATCAATATCATTTAAATAATCAATATTTGATCAAATTATTTATCGCTATATACGTATAAGTATGATCGGTATAATAGTTTTACTACGCACAAGTATGACTGGTATAATAACTTTACCATACACGTGAGTATGGTAATTAATTATAATCCTACTCAACTACATTCGCACCTCATACCATACTACTTTAGATATAAATCATGATTGACAGATTCACGCTAGTCCTATTTTAGTATACGATAGTCCAATTTCCGTTGCTTCCATTTATGGTATATGTTGATTGGTAGGGAAAGGCGTTAGGATTGTTTAGTTAGTCGAGACCTTAATTACATCATTGATTATTGAAACTGCGCAAGCTTTATCAAAGACTTCAATGATATTGCGCCTTAGATAGATTCCCCCCGACATTAAAGGAAATTCATTCTACGTCTTTTGTCTTGGCTGCGGAACATTCTTAATGTATATAAACACCTCATGTTCGCTCTGCTTGTCAGTAGGTTTTGCTTGTAGGTTGGACTTAGAGGTTAGATCTAAAGTATCCCTCCTTTATAAATAAAGATTGTTCGAGTGAATCATATTTATATCGTATTTCGTATTGTCTGTTATTGAATTGTTGAATCATCATGAATACATCTTCATGATCTTGTTATTGTTATATCCCGATACTCCTATCGTTAAGACAG